TTATCTTTAATGCCCGAATAGTAGGCCTGATCGTTATAGTTGTACTAGCGGCAACTTTCAGTCCGGATGCATAAATAATGAAGTAGCGTTCTTTTCCAATGAAGATGGCGGTGCTGCTACATCAGAACCATCGACTACGTCGGCTGCCCTACATCATGGTACAGATAGACAAGCGTAGCAGCAGGAGGAAAACATTCCATATGTAGAAAATGCCGCTGCCGAAATGGTGATCATTCCCTCTGGATCCCTTGAGCAAGGAACTAAACCCTACGCCCTAAACTCTAAGCCCTAAACCCTAAACCCTAAACCAATTACACACATTTTTTTTACTACTGTAGTACTGTTGCATACCGTGGCCATCGGTCATGAATAAGGACCTAGTCACGATAGGTCATGAACAAGGAACTAAACCCTAGACCCCAAACCTATGAACAAGGAACTAAACCCTAGGCAACGAACCCAAGAGCAAGCAACTGAACCCTAAACCCTAAACCCTAAACCCTACAATGTAAACCCTAAACCTATGAGCAAGGAATGCAACCCTAAACCCTAAACCCTAAGCCCTAAACCCATGAACAAGAAACAGAAAAACCCAACCCCAACCGATAAACAGCCAGGAGTGGTGAATAACTTACGTAATTCCATCTCCAAGGGCTTCATTGTGCCCGTCCACTGTTTCCTACTCATGGCCAGGATTTTGTTCCTAGCCTTCAGAGCAATTGATCAAGAGATTTTCTATGGTGGACACAAAGTTGGTTTCTAACCACTGGACCAACTCAAGTCAAGTGTAGAGGAACTAAACCCTCAACCCATGAAAAAGGAACTAAACCCTAAACCCAAAGCGACAAAACCATAAACCATAAACCCATGAACAAGACACGAAACCCCGAACCCAACCCGTCAACAAGGAATTAAACCCGAAACCCTAAATCCATGAGTAACAAACTAAACCCTCGGCAATCAACCCAGGAACAAGCAACCAAACCCTATTTAAAACTCAAAGCGAAACCCATGAATAAGAAACGAAACCCCAAACCCAACCCATAAACAAGAAATAGAACCCTAAACCCTAAACGCACGAGCAAGGAACTAAACCCGAGCAAATCAACCCAAGAACAAGCAACTGAATCCTTAACCCAAAGGCACAAAACCCTAAACCCTAAACCTTAAACCCTAAAACCTAAAACCTATGAACCTGAAACAAAATCCTAAGCCCTAAACCCATAAACAAGAACGAAACCCCAAACCCAACCCATAAACAAGGAACTAAACCCTAAACGGGTACTAATCGTGCCATGCAACCGGGTCAATAAAAAATCTGCACATGCCACGTTCCCAGTGAGTGACATACACAAACAGATGGGATTAGCAGCTGCGGGAGCTTATTCCCCAATGCTCCCGTTTTGACGGGTCTGCACACCGTTTCGTCACTTGCCAGACAAAACCAACCATGATCCCTGATTATCATAACCGCACACAGTTTCATCGCGAGCAAAACAAAACCAATCATCCCCGACTGTCGTAATAACCATCATGCGTTAAAGCAGGGCACCACCTTTTTCTGGAAGCCTTGAACCTCCCTCCCTCCCCCTTCTGTACTAACCTCCCCTAAACCCATAACCAATATCTCACCCACCGTTCCTTAGATGACCTCCATCTTCTCTACCATCAATCAGATAGCATCACACGCATTCAAACAAGGGGCTGTAGACCAAAGGTCGGAGAATCTTATTTGAGACCCCATGGTATGCCTGTACAAAAGCCAAAAAAAAAAAAAAAAAAAAAAAAACCTTGCAATTTTCCTTATAGGACATACCCACCACAAAGAACAATTGTTAACAGCAAACACCTGCTGCACATCCTTTTCCTTTGTTAAATGGTTATCCCTTGAATGATTTTTCTTCTTGCTGAACCTTACGTCCAAAATGTGATGAGTAATTGCATCACATGGACGATCTTTTTCCTTTTTTTTTTTTTTTTTTTTTTTTTTGGGGAACAAATGGGCCATCAGTACAAATTGATCAGTAATTGCATCAGAGATGCGAAGCTGAACAACAGTATATTGGCTGCCTTCGGCTCAACCACCCTGCCTAGCCTGCCAGTGCCGTTTTTTTTCTCCCTTCTTACCGCCAGGACATCTGATGATCTGAGCGTCTTTCTCCCGTCGAGGCCATGAGGAGAACAAATGAGAGGCTCCCCCAATCCAATTCTAAAGGAAATGGCAACAGATTTTAGGAATGATAATAACAAGAAATGCATCGATCAGATCCTCTTTCTTTGAATTGAAACATAATCCTTTTTGCCTTTGAATTGAAACATCATCCTTTTTTCCCTTTGTATTTAAACATCAGAGAACTCACCAGGTTGAGACCTGCGAATTCGATGGCGGCTTCATCTCTTCGGGTGCAAAGAACACTTGCTGGAAATCGCATGCAGGGTCCCTTATACTTGAATCAACACGCTCGAACAAAGTCGCACATGGACCTCTTCATCTTGAAAGGTGCAAGAACTTAGACATACGACGAACTCGTTCATCTGCACAAATGTCACTCCGATCTGTGGGGACCACCCTTCGGGCGTTAGTTAATCCTGGGATCTGAACTCCTCACTCTGTAACTCTTAGTATACTCTGTTCCTGGTCTTTATCCTGTCCTGACCACTCAATACTCAGTACCTGACCTTGATCGGCCGTCTAATCCGTCTTGTTCAACGACGGAACTTTTCCTGACTGTCTTCTGAGGGGCTGTCCCTAAGACCGCAAGCCAAAACCTACGAGTGTGAGAATAATTGTGAGAGAACTGGTAGGCAGTGGTAGCGCTAATGGAAGTCTCGGTCCCTTTAAACTCTCTTGACAAACTAACAGTCCAGCCGATATCTCGCCCGGACTACAACGACTGAAATATTAAAGCGACAAGTGTGTGGCAATGTTGACGTATTCGCAAATCTCTACAAGTACCTCTATTTGTCCCTTCCACAAATAAAAACATCTATGGATTCCACGTTCCCTAAACACCGAACGACATGCATTCCTCGGCAAGCTCCCTCCTATCAATCTCCTGTGCTCGATACCAGCCCTTCTTCAGAAGATCACAGCCACACAGACTTTCTTCTTCGTGAACTTCGACTTGTTGAGATTTTTCTGACTGAGCGAAGCAAGAAATCACAGCCACACATTCCTCGTTCTGATTGCTCTGACTGAGTGAGGCGGTGTTAGAAGTTTGTCATGCACATTCTCCCCATCTTGATTTCCTCTCTCTCTCTCTCTCTCTCTCTCTCTCTCTCTCTCTCTCTCTCTCTCTCTCTCTCTCTCTCNCTCTCTCTCTCTCTCTCTCTCTCTCTCTCTCTCTCACACACACACACACACACACACACACGCACACACACACACACACACACACACACACACAGTGTCGCACACATCTTTTGTTTCTCGCGTGTGCATTCTCCTGAGCACATAACAACTCCTTTTGGGTCAGCATATGCATCTCCAAATCTTTGGATCAGCCGCCAGAAATATCCTGTGGCCACTGGCCACCCATGTCTGGGCATCCAAGAAAGATCCCATGTCCCTACGGGCCTACGCAGCTGCTCCATTATTCCGCTGCTCACCGATCTGCTATTCAGCTGCACCAGGGCCTGAGTAAGTCGAAGTTTCCTTCTCAGCAGCGCAGATCGTGATTGCCCCTGTATCTGTCTGGCCAAGGAAGGTGCTCATATGATGCACCACTAGTCGGCATGCAAAAAACTGTTCTCCAGGAACAAAAATTATGCTCTGCATCACCACCCCTCTCCGCGAGTGAGGTCCTCCTGAAGATGGTACTATTCATCATAAGTCGACACCACGACCCCCACTTTCAAATTGAGGAAGCTCTAGGGGAGGTGCGCTGACCTCAAGTGATCTTCAGTCCGATGCATATTGATAGGTTGCCACACCTCTAGCCGCTGTGTTGAAATCGCACCTTACGATCTCTAGGGGACAAATTCCTGTCCCTTGTGATAGATCACGGCACTCAACCAGTGCACTGGAAACAGACCTTGCCAGCCGTAGGGGACTTACAAAAAACCCTTTTTTTTTTTTTTTTTTCTTCTTGCGCAGGGGCCATGCTAATCTTATCTGTATCGTTCCAATTTTAACGGATGTCCCGAAGGACAAAAAAAAAAACAATAAAAAAAAAAAAATTGCGTTTACTATGATCTTGGAGGTTTCTGCGAAACATCGGAATCTGGATAATCKCATATAAATTATCACAAAAGGTGACTACGGGCCCCGATCAAACAACTATTGACAGCACCTCACTTGAAAAGCTTTTGAAGCTTCTCGAATACAATGGCATTTTACACCAGGCAAATCCAACTCCTCTCCCATATGGTCAGGGTGATCATGCATGCATCGCAACCACTTCAAGATCTGCCTTCCCGTGCTGAGCGCTCTGGGACATGGCAACTGCGCTTTGCCTCCAAACTCGATGACCGTTGAGCACTACGGTCCCGAGTCTCGCCAGTCTTTCCCCCCTCCAAGTCTTTGCCCATCACTCAGTTTGAGGACAAGAAAACATTGCTCTTATTTAGCATCTCATGAGAACTTTGCTCATTCCTTTAGCGCTAATTCTTTTTCTTTTCTTAATGAACAAGGGGAGGAGAGGAGGGGGGAGAAGAGAAGAGAACAGGAGAAGGAGAGGGAGAGGAGAAGGAGAGGGAGAGGAGAGGAGAGGAGAGGAGAGGAGAGGAGAGGGAGAGGAGAGGAGAGGAGAGGAGAGGAGAGGAGAGGAGAGGAGAGGAGAGAAGAGACGACAATAAGGGAAGATAAGAGGAAAGAGGAAGAGGAGAAGAGGACAGAAGAGGAGAGAAGAGGAGAGAAGAAAAAGTAAAGAACTAAGTAATCAACACATTGTTTACTTGTGAAATACATCACCGAATCTTAGGAATGAATTGCATAGTACACAGTTGAAATACTCTTCTGAGTCCTGAAATGATGCCATACCAAGATCATATCTAACCACAACGTTCACCACCATTTATCAACATAATCGTAAATGCCAGAGAAATCTCCGACACCTCGATAAGCGCAGAAAACCGCTGCAGAAACCGCCAATACATCGATAACAGCAGAGACCTTATCCGACCTCTAAACACCTAATCCTCAATCATAGCGTCGACATTCCAAACAAACAAAAAAAAAAAAGAAAAAAAAAAAGAACAGCATGAGCGACATCGGACCCAACAAGAAGTTAACTTGCTAAATGCATATCATCTAGGATGCACAGTCCAGTGCCTCAGCCCTATTCAATTGGAGATTTCTTCCCTTTTCTTTGTTTCTTGCACATTTTTTTATTTTCGCCTCAACTAATACGACATGAAAAGTTTGAGATGCTCGGCCCTATCAAATTCGAGTTTACCGAGGACATCTTCATTGTAAAACCAATGCAGCGCGTCCAAAATATCAGGCGAGTCAATGTGCGAAACCTCGTACATGGTTTGGGGTAATAACGAAGAAGGCGGGGCATCACCTACTGCAAATGGGGGTCCTTGGAGGTGTGAGGAGAAATAACGCGCAAAGCAAGGATCGGGATTAGGCGTGGGATGCCCGGGCCTAGTTTTCACCACAGGCTCGAGCCTCAGCCGTAGGTCTTCCAGAGCCTCCGTCCGCCGATTCCATGTCCGTGCACGCTTAGCCTTCCTTTCGATGTTTTCCAGCTCTTGTTGCTTGGCCAAGAGTGTCACAGCACGGTTCAATTTGTCCATTTTATCCTGCAATTTCTCAATTACCCCTCCTTGATGAGAGGGCGATCCCATGTTGTCCTGCAATTTCCTTACCCCCCCTTTAATTGTCACAGGTGAGGAGGGGTCTGGGGCTTCCACAGCAGGACCCCCCCCGATAGACGTACTAGCCTTCACGTTGCTTTCCACCTCTTTTTGCTCCCTTAGTAAATCCTTTAAAGCACTGTTCAATTCCCCGACGGCATTGTCCAATTTCCCTATTACCCCCTCGAGCACAGATTGAGCCCTTCTTGGGGGTGATGGGGCGAGCCCAACAGCATCCCCGGTAACAAGAATTGCGCCGTTTTCTACTCCTCTTTCGTTGCTTGCAAGATCCTTTGCGGCGCTTCTCAATTCCTCGATGGTATTTTGCAAGTCCTCTACCCCCTCAAAAAAAGGTAGGGTCCATGTTGCCCCTGAAGAGGAGTTCCCAGGGCTGGGAGGTACAACAACCTCCACCTCATCGAAGGGACCCAATTTTAACGAATCGCCGTGTGATGGACAACCACCGCCATACATTTCTTCCCTTCCTGGGGACTTGAATTTGGAAGAACACACAACGATATGTGATTGGTTGATCTCCTTCAGTGAAGGATGACTTACTGATTGATTGATTGATTGATCGATTGATTGATTTATATCTTTAGTCCAGGTCTCCGATGACATCTGCACCACAAAAAAGAAACGGATACCAACGGGCTTAGCTCGGTTGGTACACCAATAAACTGTTGAAATGCAGACCCGAGTTTGAATCCAGACGGAACCAGATAAAGGACATTCAGGAACTACTTAGGGCCAGTCAGTTCACACAATGATACCTCAAGGCTGTCGTCCTTAAAAGGGAAAAAGAAAAGGGGAAAAAAAAGAAAAAATAAACCTGGGCTACCACCCAGGTCACCTTGTTTGACAGGGCAGCCGGTGGCTGTGCAAGGAACACAGAAGGGCCCATCAAAAAAAAAAAAAAAAAAACTCCGAAAAAGAAAAAAAAAAGTGATTCAGAAAATTAAATTGAACAAATTTTGCCTCAGGGTCACATCGATATTCGTTATCGAATTTAAAATTACAATAAAAGACGAAAAATATTCTTTTTTTCAATTATTTTTGGCCCGGCCGGTCACATTGCCCGGAACAACTCTCTGGTAGCCTAGAAAGAAACCCAAAAAAGGCCCAAAAAAAAAAAAAAAAAAAAAAAAAAAAAAAAAAAAAAAAAAAAAAAAAAAAAAAGCCCGGAAAAAAACAGTTGTTACAGTGCATCCTGATCAATTCACAAAGCAACAGTCGAAAAAGGGAAACCAGAAAAAAAGAAAACTTGCGACAGTGCACTACTTTGGATTAGGATAAGCGTTCCAGTCCTTTCTGCTATACAAAATTTTGTATAGTTTGTCTATGGTTGTCAGCGCTATACAAAATTTTGTATAGTTTCTGTATGGTTGTCAGAATGTTGGAAATGGGAGAAAAAAAAACGGGCGTCGCTCCACTTACTATGCACTGTACGACTCTCGAGTTCGTGAGTTCACTACCAGACGCAGTGACCGCAGTAGAAGCCACGGCGTCTATGGCCTATTGTCTGCCCAGATTGCAGGTAGATTGTCCAAATTCGGGTCCTCACCGCGAGTTCTTTGAAGGACTCTCGACGTAGCGAATTTGGCAGGCTGGAAACTCTACAACGGTGGAAATGGGGATGTGCGCTAAGGCAATACGATTTTGTACTGTGGATAGTAATGGAGCGAGGGCCAGATCCACTTTTTCCCTTCATTTGTCTTGGGCCTAATCCACTTTTTCCCTTCATTTGTCTTCTCTTCTCTCGTCTCCACTCTTATCTAGACCGATACCGGTTGACCCCAACAGCACAGAAAACACAAAAAATAGACAAACGCCAGTTCACCTACACCACAGACAAGACAAAAAAAAAAAAAAAAAAAAAAAAAAAACCTTATCTTATTCATCCTGATGAATTGCAGCTTTGCTTGTGAAGTACAGAACTGGACACTGTCCGCACTTTGCTGTACCCGCCTACTCCACAATCAGAGACAGGCAACCACATTGCTTGCTAACAAGAAATAAAGAGAAGGCACAGGCCGCCGCGTTGCTTGCGAACAAGAAATTAAGAGAAGCAAACAAAGGGTCTGGCTGCACTACTCTCTACTCTCCTATTTCGTCAAGAAATTAAGAGAACTAAACAACAAAGGGTCTGGCTGCACTAGTCTCCCCTCTCTCCTATTTCGGAGAGTTTTTCATAGCTGCACTAACTATCCAATCCCACAACCCTAAAACCCTCGGATACCTGTCAGAAACCACCATAGAAAAGCACTCTCCGCTGGCCGAGAGTGCCCAGCGAGAGTGCCCAGCCCGCAAAATGCGTTATGCGGCTAGACCTTTGAGCAACTCACCCTAGGACTCAAATTTGGAGAGTGTGCCTCGAGTGTGGGCGGACAATTTGGACAGTGTGCCTGGAGTCTGGGCGGACAAAATGGTGAGGACGCAGTGTCTTCTTCTGTTGTCGACGAAGTCTGCTATTGGACTCAGGAATTGGGGGGGTAGGAACATCGATAGTAAGTGCAGCGGTGGTGATGGGAAAAGAACTCTGAGCCTACACTGGGTCTCGCTCCACTACTGCCCGCTGTACAATTTCGTATAGTTGAATGTTGACCCACTTACTATAACAAAAATAGTACCTTGAAAACTCCGTGTATAGCTGTCAGATGGCACCCTCCAGATTCACCATACGATTCTGTATAGTTCTCAACTATAGGGCAAAATTTGTTACTGGGAGGGTGGTTGGAGGAGGCCGCCGTTCGAACGCGAAATCGGATAGTCCGTCTGGAGTCTGGGCCGACAAATTGCTGTCCTGTAGTGCTGTAAGGGTGTTTTATAGTGAACTCAGGAATTGGAGACTTGTATAGCAGATAGTAAGTGAAGCGACGCCGGGTTTTATATATGTATACGAAACTGTGTATAGCGGACAGTAGTGGAGCAAGCCCCACTATTTCGGAGACCCACTATTTTGGAGACCCTGTATTGCGGACAGTAGTGGAGCAAGACCCACTATTTTGGAGACCCAGTATTTTGGACCCCACAGTGGAGAGTAAGGGCCTCCCTCCACTACACAACACTCTACATGCATCTGGATGATACCTGGACCAGGTGCCATGGGTTGAGTCCCACACTTCCAGTGCATGCAGTCTAGAAGGCGTCTAAATGCATGTAGAGTGTTGTGTAGTGGAGCAAGGGCCTAGAGCAGCAAGACCCGACAGCCATACAAGTACACAAGGTTGAACCAATGGGGGTCATGGGGCCTCGCTCCACTACTCTCGAAATGTGCAAGATGAGAGTGAATCTTCCCCTAGAACACGGAAAGGTACACAGCCATGATTTTGTCTGTTGTGCATGCCGAGAGTAGTGGAGCCAGGCCCATCGTGCTGAGCTCCGTCGCAGGTCAGGAGGCTGGGGATTTACAGGGCTGACGGCTGAACTCTGTCGCAGGTAAGAGAAGTACACAATATATATATTGTCACACTGTGAATCAGAGCGCGAAGGCGAAAAAAAGCAAAACAAGGAAAGGAAAGAGGAAAGGAAAAGAGGAAAGGAAGGAAAGCCCCACCTGTTCATCACCTCTTACGTACAAGGCCAGCCATGTGGATGACAGGTTGAGCGCTGGCTGCCCCCATCCTCGTGTGTCACAAGGACCCACTTGCACGCAGCCAAAAGGCAAAGACGTAAAGAAAAGGAGGAGGAAACCAAACCTGACAGGGAAAGAAAGCGTATCCGTCAAACAAAGCAAATGACACATCCCACAGATAATCCAATTGTCACAAAGCAAATACCACATCCCATAGATCAACATTTTTTTTATTTATTTATTTTTCTTATTTTCTTATTTTCTCTTTTTTAAGTTTTTTAACTTTTTTTTTTTTTTTTTTTTTTTTTTAACTGTCCCCACCTCGGCAGATAGGACAGCTACGGTGAGGATGATGTGGATGTTCACAAGGATACCCAAGGAGAGCTGCGCCAGCACAGCATTCAGCAGGACGGCTAGCACGAACCATCCCATCAAAACAGTCCTGACAGAGGACATGTTGTCCACATGTCAAAAAAACAGCAGGACGTTCATCACAGTGCAGCATCATGCAGTTCTGATAGCGTCCTTGGGCACAAAAGGGACACCGAATATCTGGGTGACAGGGATGTGTACAATGAGGAAATGTTGGACACCCTTCAGGACAGACGGCGGCAGTCGCAATAGATTGGTAATGGGTATGGCATAGATGATGCATTCCACAGCCAAGGCTTGCCGCGTCTCTGTCCCGACAGGTGTCACAAGAGAGTCGGTCAATAATCCAGAATAAAGTATGATTCCACAATGCACCCAAAAATTCATTAACGTCAAAAATAGCTTGAGTCATCGTCGCACCATCCCATAGTTCCCACTGGGCAGCTCCACGAATGAGTGCCATATAATGCCCGGGTCTGTGTAAAATCCAGGCAGAAATATGAGGATGGTTATTGAGGTCCTCGCCTGGCGTCGCATGATGCATAAGAAGGTGGCAGCCGTGAAACGCTAACTGTAAGACATTTACAGTAAAGCCTCCTGAGGTAGTATAGTTACTCCCTACCTTCTGCAGGTGGACTATTATGAGCATACAACAACTGATTTTCAACAGCGTCAAGCTGATAATAAATCATAACAAATTGGGATGCAGTATAACATCGACACTGATAAGCCTGTAGGCAGACATTTGTGGCTGTCAAACCACAAATATTTCATAGGTCTATCCGAATCAGTCACCACTGGAAAGCCAGATCTGATCTGGTGGGCTGGGCGCGTAAATGACGAACGCCGTCGACGTGGTAGAGCAGGCTGCCGGTAAGACAAAGAACCCCACAGATTACCATCAATACGACGCGGAGGATGAGGCGGACTGGGAGGAGGGGAGAATGAACGAGCCTGCCGACGTCCCAATATGGACAACAAAGATAAGGGAGGGGCAGGTCTCAGCCGGCGTGGGGAAGAAGAAGAAGGAGAAGAAGAAGGAGAAGAAGAAGGAGAAGAAGGAGAAGACGAGGAAGAAGAAGAAGAAGAAGAAGAAGAAGAAGAAGAAGAAGAAGAACAAGAAGAGAAGAAGAAGAAGAAGGAGGAGGAGGAGCAGGAGAAGGAGGAGAAGGAGGATGTTACATGCAACGCGTGCACACACGGGCCATTTTGCAGGCCCGACGGCCTTTTGGCAGGCCCGACAGCGTTCAGGCCAAAATCCTGAACTTCAGGCCGAAAGCCTGAATTTCAGGCTGAAAGCCTGAAATCCAGGGCTTACAGGCCCCCTGTCGGTTCAGGCCAAAAGCCTGAAGTCCAGGGCCTATCCCTGGTCGTTTCAGACTAAAAATGGCAACAGCCTTTTTAGCCTAAACGAAGGGCCATTTTCGGTCGTTCATCAGAACGACCGGCCCTGAAACTCAGGCACCGAACCAGGGTTTCGGAAACAGACTATTATTAGTCTGTTTCCCACGCCAGCCTCAAGCAAGCTGCTGCACGCCAGCCCCTGGCACATTTCGGCATTGGCAAGAGCTGCCTCCTCGGCCTGACTGCCCTCCAGTAGTCAGGACGCAGGCCGAGGTAGTACATATCCCAGGCACTTCCGAGGGAGGCAGTTTGGCAGTTGTAGTCTTCAGGATTCGGGAGCAGCACTCTGGAGGGAGCGCTGCAGTGTAGAGTAGTAGCGTTAGCTTGTAGTCTTCAGCGCTGGGCGCAGTAGGTAGCTGTAGTCTCCAGCGCTGGGCGCCATAGCTAGCTAGTACTAGAGAGAGAGAGAGAGAGAGAGCTTGGGCGGAGGCCAGAGGTACCTACCTGCAGCGCCGTTGCTCCAGCTTCGTCTTCGAGGTACCTGCAGCACAGCGCCAACATCACAGGTTAGTACTTGGTTCGCAACAGAGAGAGAGAGAGAGTTCTTCTTCTTCTTCTTCTCAGTCCACCATCTCTTCTCTCCCTCTCACTTCTGACTTCACTGCATCTGCAGACTATGAGAGAAGAGATACAGAGCTTGGTGACATTTGATCCAGACTCGACTTTCGGGGATTCAGACATGGCAACGAGGGACTGTTTGGGATTGGTGACCAAGACTTGGTGTTATCGACATTCCCATCGTCTTCCCTCCTTTCGTCTGCCCCTTATCTCTTTGTCTGTGTATGTCTGGACCTGGCGCTTTCTTCCTGTGTGCAGCGCCAGGCTCCTTCACACTTCGTGATGGATACAATGCATGTTAGTCTGAGTTCAAACATTGATTGGGCTAGTTAGAGGTACTCTAGCATTCTGCTTCATTACTCTGAACTACGTGAATGAGGTCGGTCCTGTCAGGTCAGTCTTTGTATCAAAGTCCTCCCTGCGCTCTTCAGCATCTTTATGTATGAATGAGAATGTACATTGCTTGTCGAGATTCTACTCGTACCGCATTGTCTATTCAGTCCTTTTCATCACATTGCAGATTCTCAGTTTATTACGTACATTACATATCTGTGCATGTAACAGTTGGTATCGGAGCTTTTGCACGTGAATCAGGACTATCTGATCTGACACGTGTGCGGGGATCAAGAAAGCTAGTTAGTCTTTTCTGTTGATTAGGACATACTAGTTAGACCCCAAAATCACGATCTTGACCTTACTACAAAAAAAAAAATCGAATTTTTTTTCTTTTCTCGGATTTTATTTTCTGCTATATCGCAACATCTGAAATTCCTATTTTCGTTTTTCTTTCTGAAAGTTCGAAATTTCGTTGTTAAAAATCCGGAATATATTTCTTTTTGAAAGTTTCGATTTTCTGTTGCATTTCCCGTTCTTAGAACTTCGAAATATCTTCTTGTCTGAAATTCGTTTTTTTGAAAACGGTACGGGAAATACCTCCTGCACGTATTATTTTTTTTCAAACTGCGAATATTCCCATCGGAATAAATCCGAATAGTTGTCATTTCTGTTCGGACTTTTTTCGCAGTTCTTGGATTCTGTCAGTTGGTTCTATAAATCGGTTGCAGTCTAAAGTCGAA